TGCTGCTTAACCCTCGACTCCCTTCTTCATCAGAGTCTCTTCTCTTGGCTTGGACATTCCCATGCTCGTCTAGCTGTCCTCCTCTCTCTCTGGCCACTGAGATGGAATTTTTTTTTGAGACTGTTCTTCTGCTCAGCTCTTCAGGGTCCTAGGGTCTTTCTTTCCCACTCTACCACCTCTCACACCTCTCAGGGTGATCTCATTCATTCTGATGGTTACAGGACAGGTTGATGTTTCCCTTCCTGGGTGTTTCTATGGCTCCCGGGTGATACCACTGTTGGGTACTTTCCTTTCCACTTGCCCTCTGTCTCCCCTGGAGGACTGGGGCCATCTCTGTATTCCCAGTCACCACTCCCAGTAACTGTTTCCAGCCTTGTTCTACTTCCTAAACTTCAGATCTATATACCCAACCACCTATGAATTTCCCCACTGGGTGAACTTAATATGTTTAAAATAGACTTTACCATCTTCCAAATCCCCAAACATTTCCTGTTCCTAAGTTTCCATCCTGAATGAATTGGGAACATGACCTACCCAGCTGCATGAATTGCATCCTGGAACTCAGCCTCAGCAATTCTTTTCCCTGACTCTCTATATCCAAGCCATCAGTAAATCCTGCCAAAGTCTAAATATCTTGATAACCATGGCAGGTTTGCGGAAATGAGGGGAGGGGGGGAAAGGTGCAGTGTAGCTGGGCATAGAGTTAAGGACAGGTGATACTAAGGCATTAATCTCAAATTCCCCACCCATCATCCCTCACTCCCCACTCTTGATGCTGGAGCCCTGGAGCTACAAAGCATTGTATAATAATAATTTGGGGCTGCCAAAAATAGGATTTTGTAGGATAAGTAACATTACTTTCATTTTTTTAATTACAGCTAACCAACAATGGTAAAAGAAACTGGGCTTAAGTGACTGGCTCTGCTCTCCTTACAGAGTTACTGCAGGGAACAGTGATTTCCAGATGAGTCCCAGGTGTGGAAAGTGAAGCCGTCGTGGAAACATCAGTCTTCAGTTCTGCCACCACATTTGAGAAACAATGCAATATTTAAGGTAAACAGGCTAAACTGGACGTGTGTGGTGGGTGAGGGCTGAAGGAAGGGAGGACAGAAGGAGTGATGAGAAACAGGCCAGGCCTAATGACGCTCGGGCATAGCTGACAGATTATCAACTCATTACTAAAACAGCACTAATACAAAGTTAATTAAAAGCCACAAAGTAAGCAGGAAGTGCCTTAAGTTGGCAGTTTCTAAGAGTTCCTTGTCAGGGTCCCTGTATCTTCCCCCAAACTATAAGCAGTAACCAATATCATTAGAGGAATGGTAATATGGAAGGGCTTGGGCATACACAGTAGAAAGAGAAAAGAAAAATGTACTGGCAAAAATCTACAAAGACAACTCTGAATATACTAAAAACTTTCGAATTGCACACTTTAAGTGGGTGAAATTTACAGTTTACGAATTATATCCCAATGAAGCTATTTATTAAAAAATCTGCCAAGACATACGCATAGTAAGCAGAGTTGTACAGATCAATTAACATAAACAATACTCGAAGAGTAGCAGGTAATCTTCCTTGATCCTATAGAGGAATAACCAGCAGCAAAAATCATTTTTATACGTCTTATAACGAAAATAGACAAACTGCTACTTATAACCAAAAGACAAGAGGAAAAGGCATTGTCAAGACATTTACAGAAAGCAATCTGTCAACGCCCACACTGGCTATTACTTTAATTCCACTTTTCACTATTGGAAGACTCTGCTTACTGAGGTTACTATGTTTTCACAAACACAACAGTCACGCTGGGGAGTTTCTGTCAAACTAGTATCTTTTTAAGAAATTACGAAAGTATGTATCACAAAAAGAACTATTACGGGCTCAGAAAAAGCATGTAAATCTCAATGCCTAGAGAAACAATCAGATGAAGAAAAGGCAAATTCTGAGTCAGTGATCATTTCCTTTTCAAGACAGGGTTCGAAAGAAGGTACAAAAGATAGATGACAGGTAGATACACTCAGCTCCTCATAGGCACACATGGGTTTGTACCTGGTACTCGTTGGAAAAGAGGCAGGGTACAAATTTTTCTTAGACTCTATTTGAAAAGCAAGTTAGTTCACGTAAAGACAGAGTTCTTTTTAAATCACTTTAAAAGGTAGATACCAAAGTAGAAGGCAGGTGTATGCTCAGAATATGATCCACTGGAATGGAAATTAACTATGCCTATCCTTTGATCTCATGCAGTTTCAGCTGACCAAGCAAAACAGTTCAGCCAATACAAAGCAAAACAGAAACCTATCCTTCAATTTCTGTCCTCGGAGTTACCTCGCTCAAACCCAAGGAACCAAACGTAACTCACTTTCAGTTTTAAGTTAGAACATGTTGAATCCACAGTGACTCAGCAGATGGGTTTCACTTAAAGTCACCTGAAACCAAGTTTCCTTTACTGTGACTTTCCAACAGAAGAAACAGACAAGGACAGAATTAGGCAGGAAGAGCACTGGTCTCGGAGTCAAAATTTTAGATGTAATCTCGACTCCAAGGACTCCCAGGTAAACCAATTCAATCTCTTTTGAAATTAGAGTTTCCTTTGAATTCTTACATGCCTGCATGCCAAGCACACAATAGGTGTTCAATAAATGCTTTCTGAATTATTACTACTAATAGCCAACATTTACCAAGCACTTAGTAAGTCCTTTATATGCATTATATCATGTAATACTTATGATAACCCTACAAAGTAGGTTTTCGTATTATCTGCATGTCACAAATTCAGAAACTGAGGTTTAGAGAGATTAGTAATGTGCCCATGTGACTCAACTGCTGAGTAGCAGAGAGGACGGCAGGGCCCAAGGTTCTTAATCAAAGTGAACTTGAGCCTGCTGCCCCTCTGAGCACAACGGGGCACCGGCCAAAATAATCAGAGTCCTCAATGAACATATGAGGCTCCTCCAATTTAACGTTGGTTTTATTGCTTGCTTTTTCCCACCACCTGTCTTCCTGGGAGCACTGGCAATAAAAACCTTGGGATCCTTGTTATTCAAAATGTGGTCCGGGGACCTGGAACATAGATAGGTGTCACCTTGAAACTTGGAAATGTAGACTCTTGGTCATAGTCCAGAAACAGAATCTGCACTTTAATGAGATACCCAGGTGATTCATAGGGACCTCAGTTGGAAAGGCACTGGTTTAGACTAGCTCCAAAATGACGCTCTTTACGACAGGAGGAAAGAAGTTCTGAGAAGGAACATACAACAGAAATGTTATAGTCGGTAAGAACAAAGCCAGCTTGCTACGGCTGTGTCAGGACCGCAATTCACCTACGTAACAGCACACAAATATTTATGAAGAACCTATAAAGCCCAGGGAATTGATGATAGAGGTAACAGCTGAATCTGCAGGGAGTGTGTCTACAGTTCCACACCCTTCTAAAATCCCCAAACCAGTGTTTTTAGAACCATGTATCATGCAGCAAATAAAAATACATTAAGTTTTTAGCAAATACTAAATCGCTCATCAGGCAAAGAGTAGAGCTGTGCTGCGAACTGATGAAACTTAAGATTCGTATGATACTACCACCTTCGTTCACAGCCTGGGAGTCACCTCTTAACAAGGGAGCTTTATCCTTTTGAATACTGACACACTTTTTGAGCACAATACACACGTGAGTCAACATAAATTTAAGTTTAAACTTGATTTAAATTGGAGCTATTTCAATGTGGTTTATGGTTTCCTTTTTAAATGACACACCTACATTTTTAGACAGAAAGTCGTCCATATTTTTAGCCAAGAAGTACAGGACAGTAACCGTCCTCTCACAAGAGATGTGAGTTATGTTGGCCTCAGAGTCAGAATCTCAAGAACCATCTGAAGGAGTTAGCTTTCACTCACTATTTCTTACCTGTTTAAAAAGAGTTCTAAAAAGTCAACCCCACACGTAAAAGCCATGCACATGACTAAAAGTTGTCTTAGTAGGAGATGAGGTGTAGAGCTGACTTTTTTCTTTATTCCCACTTTTAAAATAAAAAATAAAACACATTTATTGCCTAGTCACAATTCTATACTTTCCAGAGCTAAAACAATGCATTGCATGTAGGTGGAAATTCATTCTCCACTTCAGTTCTATCCTTTTGGTCATTTGAAATCTACTAGGCAGGTTCTTCTCCTTAACAGCCTTCAACTGTATATTCCTGGCACTTTCCACTTCCTCCCTGCCTCCATCTAGGGAGAAGTAGAACAATGAGAATGGATTTCTTGCTAATTAATCATCCAGATATCTCCTAGAAGGGTTTGCTTTCACCACAATGGATCATAAAAAAAGAACTGCTTTTAATTTCCAACCCATTTACTCCATTACAGTCATGAATCGTCCTCTGGATTCAAAGATTTTCACCAAATAGCCCAGGGTTTTACCATAAAGGAAAAGGAAGACTTGGGCATGCTCACAGTAAGGGGCAAGCAGGAAGCCGAGCAAAGTTTAGGGCAGTTGAGGCCCCTGAGGATTCTGACTCAGAGTTGAGGCCAGAGGCCACAGAAACAGGGAGGCACATATTAACTACAAACAAGCACTGAAGGGGGAACACACAGGCCTGAGTCAGACTATGATGGGGGATTCGGGGGCCTGAGGAGTCCCGGGAGAGAATCAAATAAACTGGAGTTTCCCACAATGGACCCAATGCCCAATGCTACTAATGGACTGTATTAAAAACCAGCCACAGTTGTGCTAAATCGGCCTCAATGCTGGTGGCATTGTTAATGAAGACACCACTTCCAGACATAATTTAGCAATATGTTTGTACAGTCACAAGAGACTTATACTCTTTGATATGGTAACCATGCTCGACAAACATGGAGAAAGGGACACCCAGAAAGTAGGTCACTGCCAGGAACAAATGCAGACGTCGGCATTTAGGTTTAAACACACTCACAAGTACAGGCTGGAATGGCCTGGACTGGCAGCTGTCTTGGGCAAAAGCCCTGGGGATTTGGGATGAACCTACCTTACTTCAGGTGTCTTATAGGGAGCAGCAAGAACGGCGGGAGCTGCAGTCGGCAGACTTGGGCCTGAATCCGGCTCTCCCTTCTACAGCCTGTCGCAAGTCCCCCAGCTCCCTTAAGCTTGGTCTCCTCACCTACAGAATGAAGATACCCCATTTCCTTGATTCTAAGATGTGCTTTCTGTCTCCCTTCCCCCAACACACAGTTTAACTTCTCTGAAACTGGCATGACTATTGTATTTCATGTTTGCATTTAATGGGATGGCATCTTCCTTCCTCTGTTTCTCCCTGAGAAGCTGAAATTTAATTGATGGTGTATCTTGTCATTAACAGTGTCTTAGAATCAAGGAAATACAGTAGTAGTGCTGGCCTCAGGATTGCTGTGAGGATTAAATGACATAACATATATAAGGCAATTTGGCAGACTACCTTGAAAATAGTAATAGTTTCCCCCCAAAATGACACATGTTAACATTATTTTTAAAAAGCCAATGCACTCTTAGGCTACAATTATCTGAAGAGCAGTACCCAGAGAAGCAGCCAATCACCCCGCCTGCTAGTCAGTCTACACTTGGGGGACTGTATTCAGTCTGAGGACCACGGAACGACAGAGGCAAAGCATGGATACTCAGAGAATAGGGACCGGGTTAGAGAAGCCTGCAAAACATGATATTATGAGGAATAGTTAAAACAATCTGGAGTTTTTAGGCTGAACAAACATGAGAAGCATTTTAAACATATCAAGACCTGTGGATGATTCCTCTGTGGTTCTAGGGGTCGGAGCTAGAACACAGGGATGGACATTCTGGAGAGGCCCACGTCACATCGGCATAAAGGAGAACTTTCTGATACTGGGAGCTCTCCGGGAGTGAAAGAGCTCTGGTGAGCGGAAAGCTTCCTAAAACAGGACGTGCTCCATGCGCACCTGGATGGGGCCATGTCAGCGCTCTCCTGCTTGGTGTCAGAGGCTGAACCCTGTGTCCACTTCAACTTTAGAATGCCATGCCTGACTGTCCCTCCTCCAAACTCAGACCAGGCCTCTGGGGACCACCTGGAGCAGAAGTGGCCCTGAGGCCTCCACCAGCATGGGCTCCGCTGTCCAGGGAAAAGCTAGCACAAAACTGGCAAAAAGTAAAGGGAGGAGGAGGACTCACTGGGTGCCCGGTATGGTAGCAGCTCACGTGGGAGGCAAAGACACAGTCTGGATGCAGAAGACTGGTAGATTCGAACTCAGCGGGCAAGAAGCAGTGCGTCCTGAGACTCTAAGATAACACTGCCAGCCCTGACCTACTCCATGTAGAATGTTCTAGTTGGGCCCTAACGAATCCATTTAAGATGCAGACCAGTTTTCTGAATTACAGCAAACCCTTGGTGAGATCCACACTCTTTCCTTCAGCTCTTGGCCAGCTCCCTTCTTGACCCAATTACACACTTTTTTTTTAACCCTCTATCCATGCTTTAGTGAAAAACGTCTATCCATACCCTGTGAGAAACTGCTAAGATCTCAGATTAAAAAGAAGTGTAACTTTGGACTGTATCTTCTTATCAACATGTATTTGAACACTGGGTACTAAGCTTACTGTGAACTTTGTGATTCAACTACATTGTCAGTGTTATAATCATTTTTATCTAAATCTCTCTGAGCAAAGGTACCTTGCTTACATCAGGCAACTAGTGGATACTTCTGCCAAGTGAAAATGAATGGCACAGTAACCGACTGAAGGACCTCACAGCCTTACTCCCCCGATGATGCTACTTTTGGCCCAAGAGAAGCCACAAGCTATGGCTTTCTGGCCATCTGCTCAGCTCTCAAAGTTTACCTACACATCTTTTGTTAAAGATATTTCTTATAAGTGATACCTCTGTAAACCCAGATGTAGTTAGGAATCCACATGACATAAGATCAAAATTCTCTCTTCCATGGTGTTGAGCAACTACCACATGTCAGGTGCTGGGATGGAGTGGAGGAGCACAAAGGTCAACAGCTCAACAGCTCACAGTCCAGGCCTGGAGACAGGCTTTTAGCAGCTAATTCTCAGAGCATGAAGAGAAGGGCAGTAGGAGCCCAGAGCAGGAAGTGCTCAGCCTAGGGCATGGGGAAGGCTACTGCTGGGAAGGCACGCTGGAAAGGAATCTTGAAGACCAGACAGGAGCTCACTGAGCAAATTCAAAAGGAAAGCATAGTCAAAGGAAAAGGAACAGCTACAGTGTGTGGGGCTGTGTAACCTAAAGAATAAAAATATCCTTGCTTGTCTGAGCAAGAGAGCGAGGCAGCGCTGTTATAATTGTTTTTAGATATCTGGGGGACTATCTGATTAGATATTTGCTTCTCCAAGTAAAAGGTACTATGAGAATTAGAAAGGGGGCAGGTACCTACAAGAATGTACATTTCAGTTTAATACACACAAGAACATCCTGAAAAAAAAAAAAGAACTAGTAACAAAGAAACTGGCTGTCTGGAGTAGACAATTTATAATTTTATAGTTTTGGAGTCAACTCAGGTTCTAATCCCAGCTTAGACATGGTAAATAGTGGCCACGCATGCTGTGAGATGGGGACTCCCCATCACACTGTGAGCTCCAGCACCACACCGAGGTGCCATCTCTGCCTATGTCTCACGTGCGGGGTTTGAAGGTGAACTAGAGACCACCAAGGTCCCTCCTAGGCCCTAACCTGGGGCTCTCATTTGATTGTCTCTGCCCACTTCTGATCTGGCAATATTCCCTCAGCTCACTAGGAAAGACACTAAGGGAATGTCCATTGAAAACCTTCTATACAGATGTTAGCTCTCACTGCTGTTGTCATTGCTACTTTCTCTGATACTAACTTTCCATTCATTTCATCATCCCTGGTTGTGTTTTATTCCTGTGAGTGTGTGTGTAAGGGTATACAAATATTCCTGCAAGCCAACTCAAATCCTTAGTAGGATATAAACGAAGCCAGGAAAAATAAAATAAAATAACCTTCTACAGTTTATTATAAATGACACTCATGACAACAATAGGTCACATTCACTTAACACTCATTATGCATCAGGCACTGTGGGAGGCCTTGTATATACATTATTTCATTTAATACAAGAACCCAAAAAGTTAAACACTATATCATAATCCCCATTTTATAGATAAGGAAATTGAGTCTCAGAGAAGTCAAGTAACTCACTGAAGGCCCCAACTAACTAGCGGTCTAAACTAAAATTTTTGCAACATAGCCTACAACAATCTCATATTAATGGATAGGTACTCCCACATATTTTTAAAATTTGAATACTGAATATTTTTTATTTGAATCTTGAATGCGGGGACCCTGGAAAACAAAAATAAGCTGCTTAAGCTATGAAATAGGTGACAACACTGAGCTCATTTGGTCTTAATCTCACATTTCCGGACACTGTTGAGAAGGGTCCACAGAGTAACCAGGTCACGCTCGTCTAAGTGGTCTTTCAGCATCAAATTAAAATTTCCAGCTTTCTCACTCATTGTATGATTCCATTCATGTGAAATGTTCAAAGTGGGCAAATCTAGAGAGATCTACAGACAGCAGAAGAGAGGTTGCCCAGGGCTGGGTGAGGAAAAGAGGGGAGAAAGAGACTGGGTACAAGGTTTCTTTCAGGGGTGAAGAAAATGTCCTAAAATTAGATTATGGTGATGGTTACAGAACTCTGTAAATACACGAAAGGACACTGAATTGTACGCTTTGTAGGGGATAACTATGTGATAGGTAAATTATACGATATCAATAAAGCTGTTACAAAACAGTTCCCCAGGTTCAGTATCAAGTGATCTCTAGTCACTCCACATGGCCTGCGTCTTCCAGAACAAACATGCAAACCAGATGTGCGTTAAGTAAGCCAGCGCCCAAGAACAAAATGTTCAGACAACCATGACGAGACGGCAGACCACTCCTGTGAGGTCGGTAAGCTGTCCTTGGAAGCGTCAGCTTCTTTCTCAAATGTCGTTAGGTAAGTGCGGAATGGTACCGGCTTCTGATTTTTACCAACCCAGGAAAAATGGAAGTATAATTTCATTCCTCATTGCTAAAATGTAAGTGAACAGAATGAAATCTTAAAAATAGCAGCAATAGGGGAATCAGAGGACCTCAAAAGGCCCGAAAAGACTTCAATCAAGTCGACTGGAACCTTGTGGCCGTGGGGACTCAATCGTTCTGCGCTTAGAAAAGGAGGAGGAAGAACGAAGTCAGTTACCCTAATAAGGTTCTCTCCCACCTTCACTATTCCAGTCACACCATATCTGCTAAGGGTTGTGTCAGTACGTTGACTTGTCCCCTTCTAAACAATCAGCCACTGCTCTTCGACCAAGGAAGCATCAACAAGACATCTGGACACACTGGAAATTCATGGAAGTGTCTTTCCTGGACCGAGATTTCAAGTATTCAAGTGAGCCTCCTCCCACATTCCTCATTAAATAAATGACAGTCTTATAATTTGATTAGCTATGGTATCTGACTAAAATTTTAAACCTGGTACATAAAAATCAAAAGGCAGTTTCCTAACATAATGCGTAACTGCCGCAAAATAATTGTTCTCCAAAGTAAAACTTACCCTCTCCTTTATAAAAGCTGATCTTGCCTCAGCTCTAACCTGTCACTCCATCTTCTTAAAGGAAACCTTAAGTTTACAAAATATTTGAGGAAGGGAGAACCATTCTTAGAGCTACCACTGAGATAGATGGCGGGTGATGTTAACTTAGGATACAATCTCGCTATATCTGGTTTTCATTTTTCTCTCTCCAGGAATAGTTTTTATTTGTTTAAATATAAAGGAACCCCATTTTAAATATTAATATGCAGGAAAGTACAAGAAGAAAATTAAAACTTCCAGGAACTCCCAGGTTTAAAACGATCCCAAAGCCCTGTGAACTTAAGGTGACCACCTAGCCTGTCTCCCCAGGCATAACACACACAGAGACAGGCATGTTTAAAACATGGCCAAGTATGTGAGGCACAAATAGTTTGAACTTAAAGATTGTTTTCACTTAAAGATCTAACATCACCATTTCCTCATATTACGTTTCACAGGTAAAACTGTAACAGTTGCATAATGATCCATCATGCAACTTTCTTCCACTACTGTATGTTTTGATTATTTCCAACTTTTCATGATAACAAATAATACTTCAATGAGTATTTTTGAAATTAAAACTTTTACACCCCTACCTGGACAATTCCAATCTTTTGCCCTATTTCTTTTGTAATATTCTCTGTTGGTTTTAGGAAAAGAAAGTGCCTCCCCATCCAAAAGTCAGAATTCTTACTGTATGATTGTTTTTCTTTCTTTCTTTTTTAAAATTTAACTCCTTAACCTATGGACTGTATTTTTATACATTTTTAAAGACTCCAAATGTATCTGTCACATGGTTAAGTTTTGGACAAATCTAGAGTATGTTATTTGTCCAGCATTTTCAAATGCACATTTACATTTTTAAAGGAAATACGTGTCTCATATTCTTGGCTTTCCACTAAGTTTCAGAAAGCCTTCAGGACTAATAAAATAACCAGAGCTTTGATTATCAGCAGGAAATCACAGTGGGCAGGAATGAAGAGGACCCCCATACAGGCCAGATTAAAGCTAATCAATCAGGAGATCAAATTCCCGGCCTTAGTGGTTTTATTACTTTAGCCTTAAAAAGTCTCGAAAGTTCCAAGGTTAGCTTACGTAGTTGAAAGACAGTTTTCATAGCTATGGGCTTATCCTCCATGTGGACTGGTCACCACTGGTCTCATTTACTGACCACGAGCAAGCTCTAAGTCCCACCACTGGTCACTGGTTCTTGTCACTGGTCACCAGCAGAACATGTGGGAAAGCAGAGCACAAGTTCACCCCCCATCCAGTGGAAAAGGCACACAGGACGTGCTTGCTGGTTGACAGTGGGTCAACAGAGGCATCTTTGAGCAGGACGGGCAGCACAGATGTCAGTATGTACGTGGCTGCCTCCCATTCATAATAAAGACTGGATTCTATTTCCCGAGGACATCAGCTTCTCATACCACGTTTTCCCCACCACGGCCTCCCTCCGAGGCACCCCACTATTGCTGCTGACCAGCTGCTGTGACTTGGGACAAGTTAAGCAGCCTTCCTGGGACAGTCCCATCAACTGTAAAATGGGGATAAATAAGGACAGCTGACCTCTTAGGGTTGTTGTGAGGGTTAAACAAGAGACGGAGAGCAGGACTGTGCTTTCTGAGCATCAGTGTTGTTATTCTACTGCCAGAGCCTCTACCACTCCTGCTACGAGTGCTGACACCATCACCCCCAGAAATGCCACGCCAGACTTAAACTGGGTTCTTCAGAAGGAACGAGGGACCGAGGAAGCCTACCGTCAGCTCAGCCCGGGGAGCGGAGTCCGTCCTCAGCCTTCGCAGTCCCTCTGGGAAGTCAGCATTTACCGTCATTACTAAGATAGTGAATTTCTGGGGCGGGTGGTGTCACAACCTCCTTGGTTTTCTGTCCCTACTTTCTGATATGTAAACACAAGACCCATGCACATTGGCACCTTCCACGTGCAGAGTTAAGAACAGGAACCCAGGGAGGGGGTGCTTAGAATGAAAAAGGCAAGGGGTGACATCCATGAATCTGACAACGCCAGAAACTGCAAATAAAGAGCTGGCAGCTCCCAACACATGCACCTCAAAGATGAAGACTGTGGGCAAGAAGGAGAGTGATCCAGGGTGTGGATGGAACTGGCTGATGGGAGAAAATGTATCAAGAGACTCAGCAGTCAGAAAGCCCACTCCTACGTCACAGTTACTCCTAGGTATTCATTTCTTTCCTCTGAGTCCTTTTCTTCTGACTTTCAACCTTTCCAGTGCTTTGGGTGTGAGCCAATTCCTGTTGAAACAGTTTGCCTAAGGATTTGTCTCCAACTTTGAAACTCAGATTCATTTTAAAAGAAAATAAGGATCATATGCTTCTGGAACATCAATTACGTTCATAACCATCCAAGATTTATGGGACATCTAGAGGACTTTGAATGTTAAAAAGAAAGCATGTTGGATAAAAATTAATTGGCTCAAGCTTAACTTAAAATTACATGATATAGAATGGGAAAAATGCTCGCCCGTCTCTACTTGATTTTAGCCAAAAGGCAGAGCTGTAACAAAACTAAACCAGTCTGGCAAGATGAGAACAAGAATTGCAACATGTGTGCCAAACCTAGACTCAGGGGGAAGATTTGCTTAGATCCCAAATCACAGATTTTGACCATACTGTTGTACCATCTTTTTTCCTCATGTCTGAAGGAAACTTGATGTAATGAAATCTAGGTTTTAGGGAGTTTCCCCTCTTATTCCATCCTTTGCCACATTGTTCATTTCTGTTTCTAATCAGCGGTATTTTGTTTTGTTATCATCTGTAGAAGAAAAGGCTGCAAAGCTCTTGGGAACACAGAAACTGAGATCTACCAGACATAAACTAGCCTTACATGAGCTTTTAAAGACTTTTCTCCGTGGCAACTAAGCACAAATGAGTAGTCAACAAGTAAAATGCCTTAACACTGTCCTTTAAAATCATCGAACAGCTACAATCAGACTGACAAAAGTCTTCCTTTAAATTTTTAAGTAATGGCATTTAATAATAATGGCATATATGTGCGGTAATAGCAAATATTAAGCAAATCATAGCAATCACTGCTTTGGGGGGAGTGGGACTTGCTGTTAAGGAAAATATCTGCAGAGGCAGGGTCAGCAACACAGCTAGCTGCACGCCCATGTCTTGGTGGGGATAAAGAGCCACCAGTTTCCCAGTCCTGAGATGGCACGGAGCCGTAACTTCACAACTTCAGCCTCAGCCCAGCTGGGACTGGGAAGCTTTACATTTAGCAAATCACCACAAAGATTTTTTTAAGTACCGATTTCTGTCTCCTCTCCATCTCAATTTTACATTTTTTAAACAGAGGACAACATGAGAGAATAGGCCCTTCCTGAAACACTGTATTTCCCAGGGTGGGGGATAAAAAAAGGAGATTAAAATGACAATAACAGAAGCATACTAGCATATTTTAAAACACTAGTGCTTAACCGGAACTAAAGCATACTTAAAATAACATAAAAGCAAGTCTATTTCATAAAGTGTTGCAAACTTGAAAATACCATCAAGTCGAACCACTCTTTTATAGACCAATTTCATGCCGATTGCTTTGGTGACGAGTGAACAAAGGTAAAAATCACTCTCTGGATGTTTAAGTTAATGAAATTAAGGAAGACACTCCCTTGATATTTCATTCTATTCACTTAATTTCATTTTAATACTATTAGCGATACTTTTATGTCTTACAACACTCCGTGTTGACAGTCATATTTACTGTTAGAGCAATCTCGGATTCTGAGGAATCACTTACAAATAAAAACAGTGACGGCTAAGGAAGGGGTTCAGTCCAGCTCGGTTCACTTGTACACATGCCCACATCAACTGTTATGCAGGTATTTTCTGAGGCATTCTAGAAAAATTCCAGACTTTTCAAAGAGAACATTAAAACGGTATTCTGGTCCCTTGTAACTATAAGAAGTAGGCCCCAGAGAAAACCATGCATCAGGCAAACATGCACAAGTGTGTGAGGGATGACACTGGAGCTGGGTGCAATGCGCTGCTGCCTAATGTTCCAAAAAGCAAAGTCAACTGTGTATAAAATCACAGGCATGCCTAGAAGGTAGACTAGGAAGACACAAAGAATGGAATTCTGAAAAAGGAACTGAAAATACAAACAAGTACAGAACCCCAGACTGCAAATCCAATACATTTATGCCATTTCTTGACTTCCACCTGCACTTAATATTGTCCAACAATGCACACACTAGGAGAACCATAAGCCCCAAACCTCTGTAGGATCAACAAACTCACCTTATTTTCTAAAAGAACACGGCAACAGCATAAATGCTATGCTGTCAAATCATCGCCCCGTGAGGACAGAAAAAACAATCTGACATACGCAGCGGAAAGTTCAAAACGTTATTTACTAACCTGGTGCCCCTGTGAGAGCAGTCTCTTCATCTTGCTTTAAAGAAAGAATCCTTACTATGCAACTAATCTCCAAAGCAGCTGATAGCCGAGAGGAGAAAAAACTGACTACCACAGAAGCCACATACGCGGGGAAAGCAGTCGGTTCCCAAGCCCCGGTTTTGGCTGACTCCCCATAGGCAACTTAAGTCATAGCCAAGCCCACAAAGCACTTTAGCCTCTAAGCTTTAGGAATGCACTTGAAACCACTCCCATATGTTAAATAGACACTAGGCTGCTGTGAGAAATAAAAACCACATACAGAAAGAGCTAAGGCTTCAGGCTTCGTTTTTGTATTTGCTGCCCAAGAAAACTGTAACACCCTCACTTGCTTCTCTCCCCTCAGACACTGTGTTAAAGTGACTCATTCACTCTAAACAAGAGGAATACAGTTTCCCCTCCATTAGGGCCATGAAATGAGTTTTACATTGTTGCCCAAGTTGGTGGTGGTGGTGGAACATACAGCATTACAATTTCACATTGCCTGAGAGGGACACATGGAGCTATTGTTTGAGACACAAAGGCACACACTATCATTACTTCTAGATTTAAAAAATATCATTAAATAAGTGTAAAAACCTCATTTATCACTAAAGCCAAAAAATTAATCTAAGTTCAAGAGGAAAATTTATCAAAGAACCTTCTAACTTCTGATTCTGACTTAATATCTATAAGCTTGAAAAGTCACTCATAATTCAGTTTCACCATCTCCAGGTATGTTATGTTTATAAAATAAAAAAGCTTTCTTTTCAGTTTTGTAATTTTGTATAGTTTAAACCGGAATTTAATATAACTCATGGTTTCAAAGGAAGAAATTTTTATTTATTTGTCATTCTACAAAAATATAATTAATAGTTTCATTAGGGCATTTATATCTCAAAGCAGCCAATAATGTTCCAGTGTATTGCTTGAGAAAGAATAAAAATCCATGCTCTGCTTTTTAACATAATGTGCTCACATCAGCAAATGGTGTTGGGAAAACTGGACAGCAGCATGTAAAACAATGAAGCTAGAACACTCCCTTACACCATATACAAAAATCAACTCAAAATGGATTAAAGACTTAAACATAAGAC